TTAGAAGTTGACAGCACGCAAAAGGATGGAACAGGTGAGAAATAGGGGTGTTGTTAAAAAAATACAGCCTCCCCCCAACTGGACTACCTGGGGGGGAACTTGGTCTGCTTTATCCCAAGACGAATCAGACAATCAAAGGAAGCCTGGGGCTCAGCGCCTGTGGCTCAAGTGGCTAAGGCACCAGCCACATACACCTAAGGTGGTGGGTTCGAATCCAGCCCGGGCCTGCCAAATAACAATGATGGCTGCAACCAAAAAAAAATAGCCAGGCGTTGTGGCGGGCGCCTGTGGTCCCAGCAACTTGGGAGGCGGAGACAGGAGACTGGCTTGAGCCCAGGAGTTGGAGGTTGCTGTGAGCTATGCCACGGCACTCTACCCAGGGGGACAGCTTGAGGCCTGTCTCAAAAAAAAGCAGCTTGGAGGAGTGGCGCCTGTGACTCAGTGGGTAGGGTGCCAGCCCCATATACTGAGAGTGGCAGGTTCAAACCTCGCCCCAGCCAAACTGCAACAAAAAAATAGCCGGGCATTGTGGCAGGTGTCTGTAGTCCCAGCTACTTGGGAGGCTGAAGCAAGAGAATCACCTAAACCCAGGAGTTGGAGGTTGCTGTGAGCTGTGATGCCATGGCACTCTACCAATGGTGATAAAGTGAGACTCTGTCTCTAAAAAAAAAAGCAGCTTGGGGAAGCCAGAACCATCAGGATGGAGGGATGAGATCAGGGACGTGGGGGCTGTTTGGCAACTGGAATAAAGGGATTGCCCTCCCCCTGCTGGGATCCCCCAATCCTCTGGTCTGGCAGAAGGGGCAGCCTACAAGCCCCGGAGGCAGGTCTGGGGCTGCCAGATGCTTGAGCAAGGGGTTAGAGGGGAGTTAAAAGGCTTGCCCTCTGGGGGACAACAGCACCGCCCCAGGTTCTCTGCCAGAGTACAGCGGTCCTTCACCTCCTTGTAGCAGTTTTTTTTTTTTTTTTGGAAAAGTAAGCTTTATTTCAGAACAACCTGAAAAAAAGTAGTTGGGGGACCATATTTACAAACAAGTAGAAGAGAATACACAGTTACACATCCATATAGTAAAGTCTTATTCAGTAGTCTCACCAATTCCTGCCCAATGCCTACTCAGTTTCCTCTTCAGGTTGAAACTAAAAAGTAGGCTTAAAGGGGCAGCACCTGTGGCTCAAAGGAGCAGAGCACCGGCCCCATATACCAGAGATGGTGGGTTCAAACCTAGCCCCAGCCAAAAACTGCAAAAAAAAAAAAAAGTAGGCTTGAAGATGCCAGTGATATCTGTTTATCCAGATATGCTCCAAGTTCAGGAAAGAGGACACCTGGGGCCAAATTCTTGAGGGATCTGCTTAATGATTAAAATAAATATTTACATTGAAAATAGTTAAGTTGGTAGCTTTCTTCACATTTTTAAAAGAGCCACAGAAGTTTCATTCATGATTTAAGCAGCTGAGTTGGTAAAGACCCTGTCTCCATTTCTTAGGAGATGGGTTACATTCTATTACTCTTCACAACAGCCAACTGGAAGATTATTCCATTGCTTTTGAAGAACTGGTAGGGCTAGCATCTGCAATGGTAGCCAAATAAATGAGATTTCTATGTAACACGTTGGTACTGGATGCACTCGTTCGCCTGGCCCATGTTCTGAGACTCCACAATACAGCGGATCAGCTGGCCATTCTCCTCCAAAAGCCACTGGATAGTCGTAGCAGTTTACTTGTAATTCATGCTTGATCCTTCTTAGAGCTAGCATAGATTATTTTATTCTTAAGGTTGCAGATTCAGGGGCCCAGAAGATAAACAGGACATCCTCTTCTTGTTCTTCTTGGTCTCATAGGCCACATCATAGAGGGCATAGTGGCAGCCTGTATCTGGAAGCATCTTGATAAAGATGGCATAGGGATCCCCAACATTCAGGCCCACATCATCTACCAGCATCTCCTTGTCCTCCTCCAGGCCGGTGTTCTTCTTGTTCTCACTCTGGCAGAAGAGCAGTGCCTTCCTGTGTGAATTCACCTCCCCAGGCATTGAAGGCTTGTATACCTTGCCATCATTCAACACCTTGATGAGGCCAACAGAGGCAGCCACACCAGAGGCCACGTTTCTGGAAGTGAAAGGGTGATGGCAAGAACCACAGCCAAGGACAGCCCCTGCAGCTGCTGCCGGGATCGCCGCTGAGCTTTCAGACAAGACTGGATTTGCTCAATGTGCTCGATTTTAGTGAAAGGAAATGAGGGGAGTTATGGGTGATGCTTTTTCAAACTGGTTTCAGGTAATGTATTTATATTACTGAGGAGAAATGCATTTTCAATGGTCATAAGAATTTGGAAGCTCTCTGGGGAGCCTGAGCGAAATCTTGAACACATTTTGACAAAACTGTTAGAGTGTTCAGGAGTTAACATGCATGCTAAATGGCACAGTCACCCACAATCCCAGTTATACAAACGAGAATTCATGTCAGAAATACAGATACCACCTTTATAAACCCAAAGTAAAAGGGATCATACCTTTTCTTGAAATAAAAATATACTACTGAGGTCTATCATATTTCCTTTCATTTCCTCACCAGAGCAAATTGGTTTATCTCATTTGTTCATTCATTCAACAAATATTTATGGAGGGCTTAACAGTGTGGGCACAGATGATTAAGTAATAAGACATGACACAGATCCCACTGCCCCAGCAGCTTATGCTCAAGTGAGAAAAGTTACATCTAAAATATTAATGGACACTTACACTTCTAGTCCAGATGGAGTATTAGGGACTAGATTCGTTCTCCCACCTGATAGAACCAACAAAGACAAACAGGAGTAATAAATAAACAATGGTTTTCAAAACACTCAACATGAGGCAATGAAAGAGAGAGATCCCGAGGGGAAAGAAAAAACAGGTAAGTCCTGTGTGCCCTACCTACTTACTACCTTGAAAGACAACCCAGGGGACTCTGGAGTTTAAGAGACAGAGCTGAATGAAGACTTGGGGAGACCAAGGCAACTAATGTCTGCACGATAGGATAGAAATCCAGAGAGGAGAGACTTGCATAGAGAGACCTGGATAGCTGGAGAAAGAGAGTCCTCCTCTAGTATTCAAGAGAGTACTTAGTGATGAGGACTGGGGAAAGAACCATCCAGAAAGACTGGAGGGAGCAGTGCTCAGCACTCATACAGGGAAGAGTGCCTCCTTCATTCAGCCAGACTGAAAATACCCTGAATTCATAGGGCACAGGGAGAACACTCGGGAACATCAATGTTGGGGAATAACTCATGCTAGAATGAGCATTGCTCTGGAATCACACTATTTCCAAGCCACTTAGCAGCACCCCAAAACACAGCTAAAAAATGTCTGTAAGAATAAATATCCAGCACCCAACATGGCAAAATCACAATGTCTGGCAGCTGAGCAAATATTACAAGGCATGCAAAGAAGCAGGAAAACAGGACTCGTGATGAAGACTATCAAGAATTTATAAAGAACTCTCAAAACTAGAAACCAAGAAAACAAATACCACAGCTTTAAAAACTGACAGATGATGAGAACAGATATGTCAAAAAGATAAGTGGATGACAAGCACATGAATAGATGTTTGACACCATAAGTCTTAGGAAAATGCAAATTAAAGACCTCAAGATCTCTGCATCTATTGGAATAGTTAAAATTTAAAAGACTGACTAGATCAAGAGAAGACAACCATATGGACGACCGGAACCTTCGTGCACTACTGCTGGGAATGTACAGCCATGTTGGAGAGCAGTTGGGCATTTTCTTAAAACATTACGTGTACACCTACCATATGGCTTAGTCATTCCACTCCCAGCTATTTACCTAAGAGAAATGAAAGCATATGTCTACAGAAAGACTTGTACACAGATGCTCATAATGGCTTTATTTATAACAGCTCCAAACTGGAAACAACCCAAATGTCCATCAATAGGTAAGTGGACAAATCTATTCAATGAAATAATACTCAGCAATGAAAAAAAGAAAACCTGGCACATGTTACCACATGAGTGAATCTCAAAATCATACTGAGTAAAACAAACCTGACCAAAGGAAGATGCATATTGAATAATTCAATTTACATAACATTCTAGGAGATGAAAACTCACATACAGTGTCAGAAAGTAGACTGATGGTTGCCTGGGGGTTGGGGACAAGTGGACAGGTGGGAGGAAGGAATAACAAAAGCCCAGAAGGAGACCCGGGGATGATACTTGGAGGACACACATGCCAACGTTTGTCACACCGTATGTTTTAAATACATGCAGTTTATTATGTGTCAAGTACGTCTCAGTAAAGTTAAAATAAAAATATTAATGACCTCTACATTCTAGAGAGTCTAGCAGTAGAACAATATATTATCTCCATCTAGAACTATAAAGTTAAAACAAAAAGTTACAACAGGAAACCAAAAGGCATAAACATTAGCTCACTGAAAACAGTGCTGTACAGTCATCCCTCAGCGTCTGCGGGAGACTGGTTCCCGGACTCCCAGCCCTGCAGAGCTGAACATCCTCAGATGCTCACGTCCTTGATATAAAATGGCATAGTATTTGCATAGAACGTACCCACATCCTCTCATATCTTTTAAATTATCTCTACACTACTCATAATACCCAAATACGATGTAAATGCTATGGAAATAGTTGTTATATGTTTTTTTTTTTTCCTTTCCTAAAGACAGAGTCTCACTCTGTTGCCAATGCTTGAGTTCCACAGCATTAGCCAAGCTCACAGCAACCTCAAACTCTTGGGCTCCTGCTTCAGCCTCCCAAGTAGCTGCGACTACATGTGCCTGCCACGATGCCCAGCTAATTTTTCCTTTCAGTAGAGACAGAGTCTTGCTCTTGCTCCAGCTGGTCTTGAGTTTCTGACCTTGAGCAGTCCCTGTGCCTTGATCTCCCCAGAGTGCTGGGATTAAAAGTGTGAACTACCGCGCCCAGCCTGTTATACTGTATTGTTTAGAGAATGACAAGGAAAAAAAATGACTGTGCATGTTCAGTACAAATACAATTTTTTCTTAAATATTTTCAATCTTTAGTTGTTTGAATCTACAAATATGAAAGGCCGACTATATATACTAAGAAAAAATACAAAGTGTAAATGAGAAATTCTAATTCAGTAAATAAAATCAAATCTGCGATATCCTCCACAACAAATAAAACCACTTAGAGAGTCAATTACTTGGAGCATCAGGGCTGTTTCATTCTTGCATAGTGCTGTGGCTTACAGCAGTGGCGCCCTCAGGTTCTGAAACCTGAACTGTAGTCTTCAGTTGTTCCTGAAGCTCCTCTATCAGGGGCCCAGACACTCCAAAAGCCTGGGAAGAGGCAAGTGGCTTCTCCTGACCAACACCAGGCCTCTGGACAGCTATGTTTCTGCACATCCCGCCATCAATACGCAGGGCACTACTTTCCTCAAGAAAAGGACCTAGCAAAGAACTGACTGTCTCAGGCTGACTCTCTTCAAGCCCTTCTTGTTCTGAATCCAAGTCTGAGTCTTCAGTTTCAGATGATGGGGTGCTGTCTGATTCCTCTGAATCGTCTACCTCTGAACTGGAGCAAAGTGTCTGCTGCTTGGAAACTGACTGGGCTGCTTTTAATGCAGTTTCTTCTTCCTGGACAAGAAGTGCTGCGGCCTCCAGTTCTTCCAGTTCTAATCCCAGCTCAGCTTTTGTAAGGGAAACTTCCTTTAAGGCTTCTGCAAGGGCTGCTAACTTTCTGGACCTTGAAAAACATTTTAAGAAGAAATATTAGGACTACTCATTAATTGGCCTGGGGACAATAGCTTCAGAAAAATAAACATAATAAAGTTAAATCCATACTTCACACCATGATAAATCCCATAACAGGTCAAAGATATATATGTAAAAAATGAAACTATTGAATCATTTCAAGGAAACACAGATTTCCTTTATGACTGTAGAATGAGGAAGGCCTTTCTAACAATGACTCAGAATTGAGAAGCCACAAAATAAAAGATTGGTAAAGTTCAACTAAATAACAATCAACTTTTTGGGGGTCCAAAAAAAAAAAAAAAAAGAAAGAAATCATGACGTTGAGGACTAAAGCAAAATTAGAGAAAATATTTGCAACTCAAATCCCAAACCACAGCCTAATTCTCTTTAATAGAGTTCTTAAAAATGGTTGTTAACGTGGCTCAAGCAGTTAAGGCACCAGCCACATACACCAGAGCTGGCGAGTTCGAATCCAGCCCAGGCCTGCCAAACAACAATGATGGCTGCAACCAAAAAATAGCTGGGGACTGTGGTGGGCGCCTGTAGTCTCAGCTACTTGGGAAGCGGAGGCAGGAGAATCGCTTGAGCCCAGGATTTGGAGGTTGCTGTGATGCCAGGGCACTCTACCCAGGGTGACAGCTTGAGGCTCTGTCTCAAAAAAAAAAAAAAAGGATGGAACAATCCAACAGAAAAATGGGCAAAAGATGCAAGCAGACAATTCTCATGAAAGGAAATACAAATGATTCTTAAATATATAAAAAGATGTTTAACTTTAGTCAGAAAAAAGAAATACAAAGTAGGCTCAGCTCCTGTAACTTAGTGGTTAGGGTGCCAACCACATACACTGAGGCTGTCAGGTTTGACTCCAGCCTGAGCCTGCTAAACAACAATGACTACTGCAACAACAAAAAAAGCCAGGCGTTGTGGTGGACACCTGTAGTCCCAGCTACTTGGGAGGCTGAGGCAAGAGAATTACTTAAGCCAAAGAGTTTGAGGTTGCTATGAGTTGTGATGCCACTGCACTCTACTGAGGGCAACATAGTGAGACAGTCTCAAAAAAACAAAACAAAAAAAAGAAATACAAATTAACGACATGAAGGCAGATTTTTCACATCTATCAGATTGGCAGATAGATATTTAAACATTTGATAACATTCTGTTACGAAAGACTGCTGGGGGAAAAGGTGTTTTAATATATCACTGGAGGAAGATTAAATAGCTATAACCCCTATGTAAGAGAACCTGGCAATCACTTTAAAACTAAAAATGCACATACCCTTGACCCAGCAAGCCCCATGTCTGGAATTGAAACACATGTAGCACACATGCTGCATGACATAGGTCTGAGGTTATTTACTATAACAATGTTTTTAATAGGAGCAACCAAATGTCCTTAATATGAGACTAGTTAAATAAGTTATGGCATGTCCATACAAAGGAATAGCCTATGGTAGTTACACAATGAATGAAACTCTCCATGGGCCAATTCAGACATATTGTTTAACAATAACCAAAGGTACACTGTATGTATATAGTACATTCACTTAAAAAAGAAACCAGAAAAGATACAGAAACAAGTATTTGTATCTGCTTCTATACTTCTCAGTAATTCTGGACAACAACAGAAAACAAAAAATTATGTGGGGAAGAAAGGGTGGGAACTGGAAATAAGGGGTTGATGGAGGATGATGGGGAGAGGGCGCCTCCATAACATGTTGTTTTATTTTTAAACCTATATGAATGTAATACCTGCCCACAATATGACAATATACAAAAATGGGGGAAAAAACAGTATCAGAAAGCAGCATGGAATGCTTTTCTTCTTTATTAAAAAATCATTATATATTCTTTCATAAGATTTGTTTACTAAATTACCTGCTAGGTTTGTAACATTACATTATATTTTTTGTAACATTACAATAAACTTTTCTACTATTAATTTGTATGCATATAATGGTATTTGCTTGTCCGTTTGTTCTTTAGAGACAGGGTCTCACTCTGTTGCCCAGGCTGGAGTTTAGTGGCTAGTCACAGGCACAATAACAGCTCACTGCAGACTCGAATTCCTAGGCTCAAAGATTCTCCTGCCTCAGCCTCCCCAGTAGCTGGGACTAGAGGAGCATATCACTGTGCCTGGCTGATTTTTAAATTTTTTATAGAGATGGGGTCTTGCTATGTCTCCCAGGCTGGACTCAAATTCTTGACCTCAAGTGATCCTCCTGCCTTGACCTCCCAAAGTGCTGGGATCACAGGTGTGAGCCATGTGCCTGGCATCATTTAATTGTTTCGTTTTTGTTCCCAAAAGAACCATCATAACACAAACTGTATTTCTCCCAAGACTATCTCTTCATTATTCTAAAGAGGACAACCTGAATGTGACAACTGAAGAAAGGTGGCAATGAGTGAAAATGGAAAGCATGCTGACACAATTTCTATGCTTCTGTGATTTCAAAGATGAAATGACTGTACGTTCAGTGGCCTTGAGATAAACCAGATGAGGGTGAGTTTACAAATTCATTTGTAAACATGTAATCCATTCCATAATATTGGGAAAATGAGGCTTTATTTCAGTAGAGCTGATGTGAATGGATGGTGCAATGGGAGATAAAGGGCAGAGATATTTTCACCTAAGTGGCCAATGTACCAGAGACCCGATTTCTCAAAGTATATAGCACAATAACGAGTTTGTGCAGGGACGGGCCCCCTGCCCCTGCTGCCCCTTTATGTGTAACTAGAAGCAGTGGTGGCTGGGGGGGAGGCACCAATGAATGAGGAGAGCAACCACCGCTGATGGGTAACTTCCTCTTAAGCAAGGGAAGCCCTGGGTTTCAGTGCCAGAATTTCCAGAGCGTTTAGAAAAGGGGAGGTGGCTAGGGTAAAGAGGAAAACCAAGATGAGATCAGCTGGAGTCAGTTCACCAGGGCTGCATACCCTGGTTGAACTTTTATCAGATTGAGACATTTAAAAAAGTACAGTTACGGAATAAGATGGTTTCAACATAATTTGCATCCATGTTCAAGATACTTGTAGATGACGTCCACTGTACATTTTGAAACCCTGACTACGAGTGGTAAAGGATTTGGCCAGAGCTGGAGACTCAGTTTAGTGCCTCTCTGGCCCAGGACCCCGACAGTCTAAGAACTAGTTCACTGCTTCATTTCTCCCTAAACGGGGAGTTCTCTCTGGGTAGTGACACACAGCTTTAGGAGATAAAGAGTAACAAACCTGGGAAAGAGACAATGCGTCCTATTAATGGACAATATTAGAAATAAAAGTTTAAAATAAAAGCTTTTACTTCGATGACTACATTATTTCCCTTTTAAAAGTCATGAATACTTTTAACAATGCACAAAACAAGGATGTTCTACAAACATCACTGCACTTGCCACTAATGACCACCCTGTGAACCATTTTCATTATTATTTCTACATTACAGATGAAGAAACCAAGGTTTGTAGGGGTGAAGACAGCTGCTGAAGTTCACCCAGCTAACTGGGAACAGTCAAGACTAGAAGCCAAAGCCAGGACACCAGGCCCCTCCACCACAGGCCCTCCCAGGAATACACAGGCTCTGCAATGTTTCATTATTTTTGAGACAGTCTCTCTGTTGCCCCAGGCTACAGTGCTATGGCGTCAGCCTAGCTCACAGCAACCTCAAACTCTCAAACTCTTGGGCTCAAGTGATCTTCCTGCCTCAGCCCCCTGAGTAGCTGGGAATACAGATGCCCACCACAATGCCTGGCTAGTTTTTCTAGTTTTAGTAGAGATGGGGGTCTCACTCTTCCTCAGGCTGGTCTCAAACTCCTGAGCTCAGCAATCCGCCTCTCACAGCCTCCCAGAGTGCTAGGATTACAGGTGTGGGCCAGTTCCAGTTTCATTTCTTAAGAACACACACTCCACTTCTTTCCAATTTGAGCTCTACTCAACATCTTCTGGAGGAGCAAGTTCCAACTTGCACAAGGCCCAGAAGCCTTCAAAGCTACTGTGACTAAAATCTGTAGCTTAGTAATGTTAAATGAAATATACATCTAAGCTTTAACTATAGAAGTTTAGAAAAGGAGACAAAAATTTGAATGATTTTTGTGAATATCACTGAACATATTAGATACATCAATTCTCAAGTTGCAACTATTCGGATCTTTGTTACTGTTTCTGGCTGACCTCAGAGAACATACCTGGCACATAGCAGGACTAGAAATTGTCAAGTGTAAAACAGACAGGAAAGTGATGAGCCCTGTGACCCAAATAGCAAGTCCTGACTATAACCAAATCATGTGAATTTTTAACCTTCAGGAAAGTTTCTCACTTTCAGCATTAATATATATATTGTGTGTGTGTATATATATATATATATTTCATTTCTGATCCTTCACCAAGCTGATTCTTTTCTATTTCTGACTATCTCACTTTTGCTACCTCAAGCTAGCTAATTTCCTAAATTAATATTAAAGTTCTGATTTAAACTTTTCAGTTTATGGAAGAAACATTCCTGAACTCTCTGCTAGGATAAAAAGTGATTTAAATTTCAGAATAGCATTGTGTAGAATATGACCCATACTCTGAGGAATGAAAATTGGATTTGTTTTTATTCAATTATTTTAACAGATATTCTAGTTATCACTATTCCCTAAATGTACTCTTTGGGGGAAAAATTAAGCCATGAAAGAGTAGTTATTTTGTTTTTTAACTGATACAATTAGAGCTGGTCCTAATCTGTCACTCTTTCTAAACTCTAGAATTTACTCCATATTTAAAACAGACAATTGGATCATGCAAAATCATATTTTACTAAATCAAACTCAAAACAAGTTCTTCTTAGAAAGTTACTGGAAATGCAGTCCCATCATTACCTTAAAAAAATACTTTCATTCTTTATACATACATGAAAGAATATCCTATTTGGAGGAATTTTCTTTAAATCAAAGGTTGCCAACACGTTACAGTAAATGTAACTACTGCGTAAGAGTATAGTGACAGTTGAAAGTACAT